TCAGCAAAACTAAAAAACTGATCATTGACTTCAGAAAGAAAGGAGGAGAATGTGCCCCCATCTACATCAACAGAGCTGAAATTGAGAGGGTTGAGAATGTCAAGTTCCTAGGAGTGACGATAACTGACAACCTGTCCTGGACTTCCCGTGTAGATGCGACAGTCAAGAAGACACAACAAAGCTTCCTCTTCCTCAGACAGCTCAGGAAATTTGGCATGTCCGCAAGGACCCTCAACAACTTTTACAGATGCACCATAGAAAGCATACTGTCTGGCTGCATAATGACCTGGTACTGCAACTGCTCTGCTCAAGACCGTAGGAAACTACAGAAGGTTGGGTGTACAGCCTAGACCATCACGGAAGCCAACTTCCCATCCATGGATTCAATTTACACGTCTCATTGCTGCAGAAAGGCTGCCAACATCATCAAAGACTCATCGCATCCTGGCAGTGCTCTCCTACAACCTCTTCTGTCGGGAAGAAGATACAGAAGCTTGAACACACATACCAGCAGGTTCAATAGCAGCTTCTTCCCTGCCATTATTAGACTGATGAATGGACTCTCTAACTTCAAATAATGCTGATCTTTGTAATGTTTATCTTGCCTAGCACACACCCTGTGCGATGTAACCTGTATGCCTCTGTCCAATGTTTTTTCACACTATGATCTGTATGTCCTTGCTTACTGTGGTCTGCCTGTACTGCTCGTAAACAAAGCTTTTCACTGTACCTTGGTCACGAGACCATAAATCAAATAAATAAATAGGTTATTGCATGCCTGAGGTAGCAGGGTCACAACTAAATTGATGCAATCCTGAAGTATTGTGTCATGTTGCCCAGTGCCACTGACAAACCCGATTGTTGCTTCTATACCTGCTTGGGCATTTCTATGAAGTTATTAATTGCTGACCACATGAGATCTTCTCCTGAAGGTGAAGGAGGCAGCCTTACCAGTGCTACCTCTGAGGGATCCATACTCCCTTCCTCAGAGGTGGAGGAGGGGTATATCTTGCAGGGCAGCCCTTTTGACTGCCCACTGTGGGCATCCTTTTGGTACCTGCAGGAGGCAAAGAGAAAATCTTGCAACAAAGGGGTAGAAGTTGTGAGACGTCAATGTGAAATACACAGCGGAGTTAATGGGAGTGTAGCACAACAGTGAATTATGTGTCTGCCTTGGTTGATGGGATGTGAGGTTTACACATCCCGACTGGAGTGGTCCTGGTATTCACTGGCTGACACCAAGGCCCTCTCCTCATAAACAACCAAATAATAGACACCCAGCTCCAGGCCTAGCCTTCTCAGCCCTCATTTGGGCTGTTTCTTTCTGTAATGAAAGAAAGGATCGAGTGAAAGGGGCTGACGTAGCTGTTACTGCTGGTGCAGCTGCAGAGAAGATATTAAGGTGTCTTGAGTGAGTGAGGAAGCAAATGGCTTGCAAGGTTAGTAGGTTGAGGTGTTTTTGGGGTATGTGAGAATAAGTGAGGGAAGATGTTGCATGTTGTAGTGAGAGTGGTAGAGCATGAGCCTTGGTGGGAGGTGGGTGCAGTAGCAGAGATAAAATGGTGGCAGTTAAGCTGGCAGAGGGAAGAAATTCACCGCCTCCCTGCACTGGGATTTCTCTGGACCCTGTAGACTGCATTGGCCTAAAAACATGTGCGGAACTCTACAAGGCGGCTCCAGACTGCTAGCACTTAACTGGGTGTTCAAAAACTCTTCAATATTTCATTGGCAACAGGATGCCAGAGTATTTGGGAAATGATTAGTTCTTCCGGGGTGTGGGAGAATCATGCTAGCTTTGGATGAGAGAGGAGCCATGGAGGTGTGATAGTTAATTAATGGGACAAGTTAGGGATGAAAGCCGAAGAAAGCTTGCTAGGCTTCAAGGAGGCAATGAAATTTGACAAGAATAACACTTGGCCAAAATATGGTAAGATTCAGCCCTGGGTTTCTGCAACTCCAGATTCTTGTGCAACCCCCTCCCTTTCCCCAGTTGATTGTAATACTGGATAAGTCAGATGCCGGATTGAGATCTGGCATGATAGACAATATATTTTAGTTTTGCAATTTGGATACCATGGTGGTCAGTCACTGAACATTTTCACATGAATATGTGAATGTACTTTTAGCAAAAGAACTTAAGTTGATAACACAAAAAATTAAATAAAACCGCCAAATTATATCACAAATTTGAAAGATCTTATCATAAACAGCAATATCCTCTATAAATGCTCAAGCCTAGTGAAGTATCACTCCTGTCTTCACTGCAAAGTTTCTAGCTCAACTGCCATGATTGCCAGCATTTCATTTTGGTGACATCCTATATGTTCACCAGATGTGCTTCTCTTTGCCTATCCGCAAGACTTGCAAAACACAGGCTAACTGACTGACTTTTCTCTCTGAATTCTAAAGACAGCCCAGCTCTGATGGCCTGGACAGTTAAAACAACTTAATATTTTGTTCCAACTATGATAGCCTTGAGTCTTCCACAAATTTAAAACTGTCCTTTTCCTGGAATGAATCTTTTCATCTAAACTGAACCTGCTTGTAGTCATAAGAACATAAGAACTAGGAGCAGGAGTAGGCCATCTGGCCCCTCGAGCCTGCCCCGCCATTTAATAAGATCATGGCTGATCTTTTTGAGACTCGGCTCCACTTACCCGCCCACTCACCACAACCCTTAATTCCTTTACTGTTCAAAAATTTATCTAGCCTTGCCTTAAAAACATTCAGCGAGGTAGCTTCAACCGCTTCACTGGGCAGGGAATTCCACAGATTCACAACCCTTTGGGTGAAGAAGTTCCTCCTGACCTCAGTCCTACATCTGCTTCCCTTTATTTTGAGGCGATGCCCTCTAGTCCTACTTTCACCTGCTAGCGGAAACAACCTCCCTGCCTCCACCTTATCTATTTCCTTCATAATCTTATATGTTTCTATAAGATCTCCCCACATTCTTCTGAATTCCAATGAGTATAATCCCAGTCTACTCAGTCTGTCCTCATAATCCAACCCTCAACTCTGGAATCAACCGAGTGAATCTCCTCTGCACCCCCTCCAGTGCTAGTATATCTCTTCTCAAGTAAGGAGACCAAAACTGCACACAGTACTCCACGTGTGGCTTCACCAAGACTCTATACAGCTGCTGTTTTTAAACTCCATCCCTCTAGCAATGGCAGACAAAATTCCATTTGCCTTTTTAATTACCTGCTGCACCAGCAATCCTACTTTTAGCGATTCATGCACAAGGACACCCAAGTTCCTCTGCACAGCAGCATGCTGCAATTTTTTACCATTTAAAACATAGTCCATTTTCCTGTTATCCCTACCAAAATGGATGACCTCACACTTATCAACATTGTACTCCATCTGCCAGACCTTTGCCCACTCACTTAGACTATCTATATCCCTCTGCAGACTTTCAGTGTCTTCTGCACACTTTGCTCTGCCACTCACCTTAGTGTCATCTGCAAATTTTGACATACCACACTTAGTCCCCAACTCCAAATCATCTATGTAAATTGTAAACAATTGCGGTCCCAAAACTGATCCACTGATCCCCTGATCCCTGAGGCACACCACTGGCCACTGACCGCCAACCAGAAAAACACCCATTTACCCCTACTCTTTGCTTTCTACTGGTCAACCAATCCTCTATCCATGCCAATACATTATCTGTAATACCGTGGAACTTTATCTTATGTAGCAGCCTTTGGTGTGGCACCTTGTCAAATGCCTTCTGGAAATTCAGATACACCACATCCACAGGTTCCCCATTGTCAACCATGCAAGTAATGTCCTCAAAGAATTCCACCAAATTAGTTAAACATGACCTACCCTTCATGAACCCATGCTGGGTGTTTCCAATGGGACAATTTATATCCAGATGTCTTGCTATTTCTTCCTTAATGATAGATTCAAGCATTTTCCCCACTACCGAAGTTAAGCTGACTGGCCTATAGTTACCTGCTTTTTGTCTACTTTCTTTTTTAAACAGTGGCGTCACATTGGCTGTTTTCCAATCTGCGGGAACCACCTCCCTGGCCATCTGTCTCTATAGATCATAACTTTGTAAATCTTTAACCACTTTAACAACTATTTCCCTAGGGAGCTTGCAAGTCACTTAGCTTAAATTACATGCTTTGTGGAAGGGCTGTTTTGAACTTTCCATTCAAGAATGATTTCTGACCTTAAAAAGCCACCTTCCCAGAACCAAAACCAAAAATCCATTCTAACTCTACTTTTGAATTCCAATTCCCAAACAATAATAATATATGAGGTTGTTGGCTTGCTCGCTGACCTGGCTGGTTATCATACAGATGTTTCGTCTCCATGCTAGGTAACATCATCAGCGCAGCCTCCAATGAAGCGATGTTGTTCTACTCCGCTTGATATTTAAATGACCCGGTCTATTAAGTTGGTTTGTGTCATTTCCGGTTCTGATCTGCATGGGTTTGTACATGGGGTCTAGTTCCACATATTTCTTGATTGCATTACGGTTTAAAAACCAGGCTTCAAGGAATTCCCATGCATGTCTGTGGTTGGCTTGACCTAGGATGATCATGTTGTCCCAGTTAAATTGATGGCCTTCGTTGATTTTATTTAACTGCTGCAATTGCTGCAAATTGCCATCGTCTGACTTTTCTGTTTCCTTTTGTTTGGCATATTCCATCAAGTTAAAACATACATTTCCATTGGATACAGGCAATGTTTAGAAGATAAACTTATTTCAAAATGCCTTAAATCATACAAATTGTACAGTCTTTGCATACAAACATGTCAGTAATATTAATCATTTAGAATATATAATTTTAATACATTTAAAATCAAAGAGGTCCCCAGAAAACTTTAAGTTTGCATTTTTGTTCAAGTTTGCTGTTATAATTTTACTGTGTTATGAAATTTTGTGTGTATGTGCGTCTGTATGTTTGATATATAAAATATAGCCTGGTGTTCCTTGCTATCATTTATACTGCAAAAAACATGAAATACTTTTCTACTTTTAGATTTGATTTCTTGGTCACCGTATTTGCATTTGTTGGAATCGTGGTCTTAGCTTTTGATATGGAACCATTCTATTTCATCGTCATCTTGAGGCCACTTCAGCTGCTAAGGTTAGTAATTCTTGGTTCAGCATGTATTACTTTCAGATTGGTGATTCTGTTTTTTTAATGTAAAAAATGTCAACTTTTTGAAAACTTATTTCAATCCAAAGCAAATAGGCTCAATTTTTGCTTGTAACATTTAGTTATTTAATATTCTTTTTTGTTATGACCTTGTTTTGAATACTTTTTTTTTGGGAAAATTGGCACACATTCCCAGTTAAAACTGGGAACAATGTTAACAACCAAAAAGAAACACCAACAAAATCAATATTCCTTATATCAATCTTCGATCAAAGTGAAAAACTCATTTGTTTTTAAGATTGTTTCATTCAAAAAATTAAGATTTTCTATGATTAAGTAGTATAGAGATTCGGCGTTCTCTCCTTTGAATTACTAGGCTAAATGTTTAACTTGCTGCTAACGCAGAACTGGAATAATAGATCAGCCTGTTACAGAAGTACTGATGGTGAAATTGGAAGGTGCTGGCTAAGACACCTTGGTGAATTTCTGCAGCACATCTTGTAAATAATACACATCGCTGATACTGAGCATTAGTAGTGGAGGGAATGAGTGTTTATATGATTTGGTGCTAATCAAGCTGGCTGCTTTAAACTAAGTGATGTTAAGCTTCTTGAGTGTTGTTGGAGTTACATGAATAATCCCTCAGGGGAGGTAATGGCCTAGTGGTATTATCGCTGGACTGCTAATTCAGAGACCCAGATAATGTTCTGGGGACCCAGGTTTGAATTCCGCCATTGCAGATGGTGGAATTTAAATTCAATAAATATCTGGAATTAAGAGTCTAATAATAACCGTGAATCCATTGTCAATTGTTGGAAAAAACCATCTTGTTCAGTAATGTCCTTTAGGGAAGGAAACTGCCATCCTTACCTGGTCTGGCCTACGTGTGACTCGAGACCCACAGCAATGTATTGACTCTTAACTGCCCTCTGGGTAATCAGGGATGGGCAGTAAATGCTGCCTAGCCAGCGAAGCCCTCATACCGTGCGTGAATGAAAAGAAATAAAACTTGCAATTGTCAGCCCAAACCTGGATATTGTCTAGGTCTTGCTGCAGTTGGTCATGGACAGCTTCAGTATCTGAAGAGTCATAAAAAAATGCTGAATAGTATGCAATCCTCAGCAAACATCTCAAATTCTGACTGAATGATAGCAGAAAGATCATTGAAGCAGCCGATGGTGGTTAGGTCCAGGACACTACCCTGAGAGGTTCCTGCTGAATTATCCTGGAGCTCAGATGACTGACCTCCAACAACTGGTACGATTTTCCTTTGTGCCAAGAATGATTTCAACCAGTAGAGTTTTCTCCCTGATTTCCATTGACTCTAGTTTTGATAGAATTCTTTACTGCCATACTTATTGAAATGTGGCTTTGATGTCAAGTGCTGTCACTCACCTCATACCTGGAGTTCATCTCTTTTATCTATGTTACAACCAACGCTGCAATAAGATCAGGAACTGAGTGAACCTAGCAGACCTCAAACTGAGCGTCAATTAGTAGGTTATTGCTAAACAAGTTCTGTTTGATAGTACTGTTGATGACAACTTCTGTCAATTTAATTGGGAGCAGAATGATGAGGTGTCAATTGACCATTTTGGACTTTCCCAGCTGTTTGTGTATCAGGCCTAATTTGGAATTTTTTTCACAATGTTGGATAGATGTAAGCGTTGTATCTGTACTGGAACAGCTTGGCTAGGGGTGTGGCAAGTTCTGGAGCACGTCTTCAGTACTATTGCTGTCAGGTCCCATATTCCTTTGTGGTATCAGTGCCTCCAACTTTGATATCATGTGGAGTGAATCAAATTGACTCAAGGCTAGCATCTGTGATGCTGGGTATCCGAGGCACAGGTTGAGATGGATCACTTACGTGGTACATCTGGCTGAAGATTGTTGTAAATGCTTCAGCCTTATCTTTGGCACTGATCTGTTGGGCTCCCACATCACTGAGGATGGGGATATTTGTGGAGTCTCCTCCTCTAGTGAGTTATTTTATTGACTACCACCATTCATGACAGGACTGTAAAACTTAGATCTGACCCATTGGTTGTGGGTTGATTAACCTTGCTTATCATTTGATGCTTATGCTGTTTAGCATGTAACTAGTCCTGCGTTATTGCTCATCCAGGATGACGTCACATTTTTAGGTATACCTGGTAGTGCTCTCGACTTATCCTCTTGTACTTTTTATTGAGCCAGGGTTGATCTTCTGGCATGATGTTAATGGTGGAGGGGGGGATATGCATTGCAGGTTGTGTTTGAATACAATTCTTACACTGCTGATGTTTAACAGCACCTTATGGGTGCCTAATCTTGTTTTGTGAGATCTTTAGGAAATCTAACCCATTTAGTACAGTGATAGTGCCACATGACACAATGGAGGGTATCCTCAACATGAAGATGGGACTTCATCTGCGTAAGGACTGTGCAGTGGTCACCCTTACATACTGTCATGGACAGGTGCATCTGCAGCAGGCAGATCATTAGGATGAGGTCAAGTATGTTTTTAACCTCTTGTTGGTTCCCTTACCACCTGCCTCAGATTCAGTTTAGCAGCTGTGTCCATTAGGATTTAACAAGCTCATCAGTAATAGTCTGCCAAGCTACACTTGGTGATGGCATTGGAGTCCCCCAGCCCAGAGTACATTCTGTACCTTTGCACCCTCAGTGCTCCTCCATGTGATGTTCAACAGCAAAATGGGTATTGAATAATATCAAAATGACCATGTTTAGCCTGAGCCATGACCCTTAAGGGTCCCAAAGTCCGTGTTGAGGACTGCCGTGACAGTGCTTGACAGGACATACCAAGGGATGGTGATTTATTTTTCACTGGGACATTGTGTTTAAGTTATGCTTCCATGAGCATGACTGTATCAGTTTTGCTTAACTAATCTGGAAGAAAGCTTTCCCAGTTTTGGCACTAGCCCTAGATGTTGATAAAGAGGACTTCATAGTTTGACACGTGTAAGTTTGGTATTGTCATTTCTAGTGTCTCAGTTGATGTCAGTTCATCCACCTGGTTTAATTCTTTTTTTTGAGACCTTTTAAGAGATGGGTACAACTGAATGGCTTACTTTGCCATTTCGGAGAATATTTAAGAATCAGCTACATTTCTGTAGGTCTGGAGTCACATGTAGGCCAGACCAGGTAAGGACAGCTGCCCTCCTTTCCTGAGGGACATCATTGAACCAGACGGGATTTTACAACAATAGTTTTATAGTCATCATTAGCCTTTTAATTCCAGATTTAATTGAATTCAATTTCCACATTTGGGCCATTGTGAGATTCCAAATTGGGTCTACAGGCCATTATCAGAAATTGCTGGCAAAACTCGGTAGGTCTGGCAGCATCTGTGAAGAGAAAGTGTTTCAGGTTGAGTGAAGCAGTTCTGAAGAAGGGTCACTGGACCTGAAATGTTAATTCTGCTTTCTCTCCACACCATCATCTCCCCTCAATTTAATGCTCATATGGCAATCAATTTAGGAAGTTGTGAATGAGATTATATTACCTGAAATAATTAAAGAATTTTATTTAATATATCACCTTCACATATGAAGAGTCTAAGTTGCTAAATGGTATTAACTTTAATTTCCAGATTGTTTAAGATTAAACGGAGATACAGAGATGTTCTGGACACAATGTTTGAATTACTTCCCAGAATGGCAAGGTATGGGGTGCACGCCTATATGTAATTTTTAAAAGTTGTAGATATGCTCGCCGAGCTGGTGGGTTTGGCTGCAAATGTTTCGTCACCAATCTAGGTAATATCATCAGTGCGCTCCAGTGAAGTGTCAGTGTTCTGTCCCATTTGGTATTTATATGCGTCAGTTTGCTAGGGTAACTGGTATTATTTCTGGTTTTATTTCTCAGTGGTTCGTACACAGGATCTAATTCAATGTGTTTGTTGGTGGAGTTCCGGTTGGAATACCAGGCCTCCAGGAATTCCCTGACGTGTCCCTGTTTGGCTTATGTGATTATCGATGTGTTGTCCAGTCAAATTCGTGTCCCTCGTTGTCCATGTGTAATGAGACAAGTGAGAATTGGTCGTGTCTCTTGGTGGCTAGTTGGTGTTCATGTATTCATATAGTCAGTTTTCTTCCAGTTTGGCCTGCGCAGTGTTTCTCACAGTCCTTGCATGGTATTTTGTACATTACCCCAGTTTTGGGTATGGGATCCTTAATGTTCGTCAGTAGCTGTCATAGGGTGGTTGTCGTTTTGTGGGCTACCCTGATACCTAGGGGTCTGAGTAGTCTTGTGGTCATCTCTGAAATGTCCTTGATGTATGGTAGGGTGATAAGTGGTTCCAATCATGTTGTGTCTTCCTGTTGTGGTCTGTCTCGGAATAATAGCGGATTGTGTTTTTCGGATATCCATTTCTTTTGAAGACTTTGGATAAAAGTGTTCCTCTTCTGCTTTGCATAGTTCCGGGTTGCTGCAATGTGTTTTGGCTCATTTAAATAGTGTCCTGATGCAGCTCCGTTTGTGGGCATTGGGTGGTTGCTACTGTAATTGAGTATTTGGTCCGTATGCGTCGTCTTTCTTTAGCTTTCATTAATAGAGGGATTGAGTTCAAGAGCCGTGAAGTTATGCTCCAGCTATACAAAAGCCTGGTTCGGCTACATCTGGAGTATTGTGTCCAGTTCTGGTTGCCTCATTACAGGAAAGTTGTGGAAGTGTTGGAAAAATTGCAGAGGAGATTTACCAGGATGTTGCCTGGAATGGAGGGAAAGTCTTACGAGGAAAGGTTGAGGGGGCTAAGGCTTTTCTCTTTAGAACAATGAAGGATGAGAGGTGACTTGATAGAGGTGTACAAAATGATCAGAGGTATAGATAGAGTGGACAGCCAGAGACTTTTTCCTAGGGTGGAGGTAGCTATTATGAGGGGGCATAGTTTTAAAGTGAGTGGAGGTAGATATAGGGGAGACGTCAGAGGTAGGTTCTGTACTCAGAGAGTAGTCGGGACGTGGAATGCATTGCCGGAGAGGGTAGTGGAGTCGGCCTCATTAGGGGCATTTAAACGGCCATCAGATAGGCATATGGATGATAGTATAAGGTAGGGGTGGAGGTTAGATAGACCTTAGGATTAGGGTAAAAGTTTGGCACAACATCATGGGCCGAAGGGCCTGTACTGTGCTGTACTGTTCTATGTTCTATTCACTAGTCTGGAGTTCCCTGTTGTTTTTGCATTCTACCAATACGTCCAGGAAGGGTAATCAGTTGTTGTTGTCTTCTTCTTTCACGAATTTTATCCCGGTGAGGATGTTGTTTGTGTCAGTGGGTTTCTTCTGGTTTAGCGCGTTTAATAATCACAAAGGTGTCATCAAATATTGGACCCAAAGTTTGGGTTGTATAGTGGAAAGTGCTGTCTGTTCTGACCTTTGCATTACTGCTTCTGCAATCAGTCCTCATGTTGGGGATCCCATTGGAGTTCCATTGATTTGTTTGTATATGTTGTCGTTAAAACTATTTAAAATGAGCCACAACACATTGCAGCAACCCGGAACTAGCAAAGCAGAACAGGAACACTTATACAAAGTCTTCAAAAGAAATGGATACCCGAAAAGCACAATCCGACTGGGACAACACATTGATAATCGCATAAGCCAAACAGAGACACACCAGGGAATTCCTGGAGGCCTAGTATTCCAGCCAGAACTCCATCAACAAACACATTGAATTAGACCCTGTGTATAAACCATGGAGAAACAAAACCAGAAATAGTACCAATCACCCCAGCAAACCGAGGCATATAAATAACAAGTGGGACAGAATACTGACGCTTACCTGGTGGCGCACTGAATGTTACCTAGCAGGTGACGAAACATTTGCAACCAAACCCACCACTTGGCAAACATGTCTACAACCTCATCTGCAACCCGAGCTACAAATCTTCTCAAAAACTTTAAATGTAATTTTTAATTTAAGTATTTTTTCTACAAAGAGTAATGTTTTTCCTATGCCTTCCAGCTTAGGGTTGACACTCATGATTTTCTACTACTCGTTTGCAATTGTGGGAATGGAGTTTTTTGGTGATGTTCTCTATCCTAACTGCTGCAAGTAAGTGTATCAATGGGATTAAAATACTTAACTGTAACCTATATAGGTTTTATGAGCAATGAAAGTTAAAACTCTTGATTCCTCTTGTTATAATCCCTGTAGAAATGACAGAACTCCTTAAAAGAAAGGAACAAAACACAACCAGAAAGAAAACTGGTGGGCAAAATTTCATTTTTTAGAACTTGTACAGTAACAAATAAAACCAACAGCGACACAATTTAATTAACATGTAAATGATACATCAAATAATGAAGTAAATTTCATTTAAATGGTGAATACAGCAAATGTACATCATACAAAACTATGTGCACTCCTTCTTCAGCATAAATGACAAGAAACACACTACAGATTTCTCACACCCCTCTCTATTACCAAGATGGAGATTGAGTTCCTTTACTTAATCAGGTAAGCCCAAAGTTTCTTCAGATAACACTCTCACCATTTATTTTCACAGGCACATCTTTCACAGCCTTAAATGCAGCTCTGAGAACACAGCTTTTTGGTCTCCTTACCACAGCTTTAGCTGCCTTACGTCTACAATATCACAATCTTTGTTCTATTCTGAAAAACCTCTCCCTGTTTCTTCACCGGGATCTGTTTGTTTCCCGCACTGTTCTCTACTCCATCTGTTGAGCCCAAGCTATAATTCGATGTCCCTATTAACTGTCTGTTTATTCAAATAAAAGCAATTTACTGCAGATGCTGGAAAGCTGAAACAAACACAGAAAATACTGGAGAAATTCATCAGGTATGGCAGCATTTCAGTTCTGAAAAACTTATAACAGACTTGAAACATTAACTCTGTTTCTCATTATGAAGGAGTGGTTGACCCCCCTCTGATAACTGAAACCGAAACACCCAGAGAAGCTCACCTCACCTCATAATCTGTTAAATGAAGTGTGAAATGTGGTATAATCTGCCTCACCAATTCCCCCTACTATAAAAGGAGAGGTTAAACAAAATGAACTCCTGATAGTAGCTCGATAATCAACAAGTAAAAATTTATTTCTCTTAACTCTTAACAGTGAACAAATTAACAGAATTACTAACAAGCCAAACAATTCCCCCCCAACTATTAACCATTCCCAAATAAAAGAAAATTGTAATGGTATGTTATCCCAAAAGGTAACAAGTCCCATTTATATAAAGCAAATTAATTTTTAAAAAATTAAAGCCTAATTTCTCAACATTACAGCCAGGATATGTCTTCTGGAATGTTTTTTGCCTTTTCCGCCTTCCTCCGTCAAATTCTTGTGTCAGGAATATTAGCTAAGAGTGCCACAGGATCGTTATTTAGATGGTACTTACGCTGAGATCTTAGAGATGTCTGTCTGTCTGTCTGTCTGTCTGTCTGTCTGTCTGTCTGTCTGT